CCGTAACGTGCAGTACATCCCCAATGACCCCCTGCTTGAGCTGATCCATAATGAACTCATAGGAGGGCAGGAATCGAGACAAGAGCGCCTCCATTACGAACAACTTCTTAGACTTAGCCAATGCGAACAACTCCTCGTTTTCTGGACAGGGATGCAAACGTTTGTATCAAAACTAATGTTGTTTTTCATTTGCGAAGTAATGTTTTGTTGATTACGTTTAGTATTCATATCGAGCGGCTTCTCCATGAGTATGTGTTTCCCATTTTGTAGCATCAGTTTAGCTGCGGACAGGTGTTGCGAGTTAACGGTCCCGATGTAGACCACCTCCACGTCCTTGTCTTTGGCCAACTCCTCATAAGATCCATAAGCCTTCGGTATATTAAATAGATTCGCAAAATCCTGGGCTGACTTCAGCTCCCGGGCCCCCACAGCCACGAACTGTTGGTTTAATTAATTATTATTAAGTTATAGTTTTGTTAGTTATTTTAGGTGTTACCTCGTGGTCAGTAGTTTTCATACTCAACACAGAGACGACAAAGTCGTGGCATATTTTGCCGGCGCTATAAATACCCCATTTAGTGGCCATTATTAACTGAATTTATTTATTATAGTGATTGACACTATCGTATACTTATTAAAATTAACTTTTTTATAACTAATTTAGTTTGTGAGTGCTTTTGAACAATATTGCGATGAGTTTATATACTCGACAAAAAACTAATCTTAAAATTAAAATTATTAAACAATTGATTATATCAAAGTTGTTGTATGCTTTTGTAATCAATGTATTTTTATTGATCAGTACTTTCCTATGAACTCATTAATTGTCTGTTAGAGTATAGACATGAGGTGATAATTAAATCAATGTGTATTTGATTACATATTTTAATAAAAATATTATTCAATTTTTCTATTTAATCCCGAGAGTCCAGATTTGATTCATAGAGAAATGTTATCAAATGTAGTACAAAATTATTTCAAAAATATTGTTTAATTATAGACACCAACAAAATATTTACATTCATTTACTTCAACGCTACTTACAAATGAAATATAAATCTGGATTTCTATCACATGATAAATATTTAAAATTTAAAAATAATATTAATATTTAAATATATTAAATGAGAGAAAGGCAATTGATTTGAAATCACTGTCACATTTTCATGAGATTTATGATCGATAATCATTATTTGTATTATAGATTCATTTAAAATTATATTTACGTTATTTAATGTTACTTTATTGAATACTTATTATTATTTTAACATTATTTATATTATCAAATTATTTAATTATCCATCGAAACAGATATTACCATGTTCTGTTATTAATGATAACTTATCGTACCATTGTAGATAAAATTTGTATAAAACATTTTAATGACATTTTACTACAAGCGTTATGACATCTCTATATTAAAATTATTATTATCTGGTTATACTCGTATATCTAACAACACCTATTAATTAAATAGATTTGACTCACGAGTAACTCAAATCTAACTATAATTTTTAAAATATATTATAATAAAATTACAAGTATTAATAGAGTGTTCAAGTAATTAGAAATGGATAAAAATTGTATGATTTGTGGTGACAAATCCAGTGGTAATTACGTAACTAATAATAATTTAATACAAATAATTAATAATTATTATTATGATTATAATTAGGTAATCATTTTGATGTCTTAAGCTGTGAATCGTGTAAATCATTTTTCAGGAGAAATGCAATCGTTAATAATGTATACAATAAAAACTAACCTTGTTAATAAAATGAATAATTGCAATTCTAAAACATAGGATAAATATCGGTGCTATTTGGGAGGTAACTGTCCCATTGAT